CCGTTTCAGAGCTGTCTCTTATACACATCTAGATGTGTATAAGAGACAGCCCTTTCTCACCCCCACCCCCTCCATTCCCACCACCCATCATCATCTTCTTCTTCTTCCTCCTCCTTGCCCACCCTTTCTCACCCCCTGCTTCCTCCTCCCCCTCTTCCTCCTCCCCGTTCTTCTTCCTCCTCCCCCCCTCTCCTTCTTCCTCCTCCCCTCACCCCACCCCCCACAAGCTGACTTTTTTATTGCAGATTCGGGGTCCTCTGGGGCAGCGCAGCAAAACCCCACCTTCGGGGAAAAAACAAAAAATCCCCGCTGGGTTTCCGGACCACCTGGATTTCCTGGGCGGATCCCACCGGGCCCGCCCGGCCTGGAGCCGGACGGCGCCCCAGCCTAGCCAAATACAACTATAATAACCGGGCGTTCCCGTCGGGTGAAGTCAGTAGTGGGCTTTCAAGATGACATCTCACTGAATCACTCCCTCTACTCCGTACACGGACATGGGGATAGGGAGGTCTGCAGCAGTGACCACCCGGTCATCCTTCCTTGTATCCAGTCCCTTTGCCACAATGGCCCTTCAGGCCAGCGGAATAGTCTCCAGTTGTTTGTACCTTTTTTGGGCGTCCCTCACGTCGGGAAGGATGAGACTTGAGCTGCGCTTCGTATCTCCATGAGGCTGTCTGTGTCCCACATATCTCCTATGGTGAAGACATCCTTCTCACCCAAGTGAGCCAGTGTGAGTCCTTGTGCCGTAAAGGGTACCCGAAGATCGCTCGTCCTCATATCTTTTGCCACCTGATGGCTGGCCGGCTGCTGACTGGGCTTCAGATTTCCATGAGGCTGTGTCCCATGCATCTCCTCTGGTGAAGGCGACCTCACCCAAGTGAGCCAACGCAAGTCCTTGTGCAATGAGAAAGGTTATTGAAGATGGGCCATCTCCATATCTCGTAACACCTGATGGCTGGCTGGCTGCTGTTTGGCAAGGCCATTCTTCCTTCCACGGCGTAATAAGGAATTTCAGAGGGAGTCGCACTTCGGATCCCATCTCACCTGGTTCTCACCGCGTCTGTCTCTTTCTTGCATTTTTTAGGGCAACAAGTAGAGGGCAACAAATAGACCATTCTTTATTGGCCACCCATTGGAGAGCCCCTGATGGCAGACTGCTGTTTGGCAAGGCCGTTCTTTCTCCGGAGACGCAATAAGGAAGTCCAGAGGGTTTCGCACTTCACATCCCATCTCACCTGGTTCTCACGGCGTCCATCTCTTTCTTGTGTTTTTGAAGGCAAAGAATAGACCATTCTTTACTGCCGCCCAGTGGAGAGGGTGGAGCGGATTCTGCAGAGTTAAACCGCCAGTACACAGCCCCAGCCCTACTGCAAAACAAACTAGTAGCCTAAAAAAAATTTGTAGGCTTGGCCAACCAGCCAAAAAAGAGAAAAAGTGAGCTGCTGGCGGTTCGGAAATCCTTGGCAAGGGGCCAGCAGGCCCGGGTGTATTGGTGGTTTAAGGAAGGGGCTGGGTTCTGAACAGTCCCCTAAGACCCAGGATAATCGAGTACGGAACTCAGGGACTATCGTTGGCCATCAACGGTCCCATGAGACACTATTTATCCAGTCCGTGGGATTATAGCCAAGACTTTGAAAGTCGACACATCTAGCTCTGAGTCACCGTTAGGATCAATTATACCCAATCCACTTTCTGCTGTACCTAGGTGTCCTCGTCCGATGAGACCCTATTTATGCAGTCCGTGGGATTATGGTATTTATTCCAGAGGTAGGCCCCTAGTCCCTGTTCTACACTTGCTAGTTGTTTTGGTTCAAACCACCCCCCCAACAGCAGCCCCTGCACTGTTCATTCGTCTCCTTCCCTGCCCGCGTACAGGTTCCGAGGGGAAGGGTACCACAGCTATTTTTCGTCACGGCGGCACTGTTAGATTTGACGCTCGGGGAAATGCTACTTTCGGTTCGCCAAACTAGGTCCGGACGAAGTGGTGGTTTGCAGGGTCGCACAGTAAACTCGCACCAGATCGAAGCTAGGATCGCATTGTTGATGGCTATAGTGCGCTGCCCACTAGTGATGTGCACAGCCCGTTCCATTCATTTCATCATGCATTCGAATGTCTTGTCCACCAATACATCCCCATGATCAATGGGGAGTCCCACTGCTGACCCTGTTTGCCCGGACGAGTTCGGCGCAAAATGGCAGGCCGGTAGCTCCGACCAGACACATCACGAGCCCTGCCGCATCGCAGAACATGGCTGGGAAAAGTACTGTGGGTTTAAATCAACGGTACACCCGGGCCTGCAGGTGCACATCACTGCGTGCCAGTCTTTTCCAACCCGCCAGCAGCGCAATGTTTCTTCTTTTCTAGCTGGCGCCGCCAGCCATTGCGGTCCAGTAGGCCAAGCCTCCGAAATTTTTGTAGGTGACGAGTTTTCTTTCCAGCAAGGCTGGGGCTGTGTACTGCAGGTTTAAGAGCAAAAAATCTAGAAAACACTAGAAATATGTCAACAAAAGATCGCCATGTTCCTTTCCTAGCGAGTTGGACAAGCACCTATGATTTCCATAAAGCTTTGCATGATTTTCTTGTACTACATTCAGATTTGACTTTGTCTCCAGATTTCCAATACGCTACCAGATCTGGTCCAGATTTCCAATACGTTACCACCTCTGGCAACAAAGTCGACGCTGATCTGCAACCACGCCGCCAACCGCATTGAATTCAAATCAAATTTATCAAACCCTTTTCGCTGGCCCAAGTTGACATTTCAATCGAGTCGCAGTCGCCAAAGAATTCACATTCAATACAGTCAAAGATGAAGCAAGGCTTAGCAAGCAAATGGTAGGAATTCCCCGTACTCAAATCAACAGCAGTCAAAGATGAAGCTCAGCAAGCAAACGGTGGAGGTGGCAGGCTTAGCAAGCAAATGGTAGGAATTGCCCGTGCTGGAATCAACAGCAGATTCGCAATGACTTTTCGCACGTAGATCCATACCCCTCTTGTGCACAGGTGGGCAAGCTCAAGCAATTGAATGGGGGAGCTGGTGGTGGTATTGACCTGTCATCCCCGTGTACGGATTAGAAGGAACACAGATGGAGGGGGATGGATACAAGCAACCAGGAGAAGAGTGCCCAGCCCATGTGGCTGATTGGTACACAAACATGTCACTGTCGATAAACGTGTCATGAGATCGAAGCTTGGAGGAAGCTGAGGAATACATCAATGCTAGGGAATACTCCTTGTCCATTCTTTCCAGGAGAGCAGAGTCCAGGTGACCAGGGGGCTAGCTCAGTTGGTAAGGCACGCAAGTGCCAGTCAGGAGGTCTGGGGTTCAATCCCCATTAGCCTCATGTACCTTCCTGGGCAAGCTTGGCACCCGCCAATTAGAGATATGGAGTTGGTCCCCCCACGTGGCATTGAGCAGAGTGTGTTGATGTTCAGTGGGGGAGGGGACCAGAGGGGAGTCACAGTGACTGGCCCATCGAAGAAGCTCGGTCCTGATGCTACCGGCTGACCCCTGGGTATCGCCCACCTGATGTAGCAGGTATCGCACCTGCTGGTGGGTGCAGCTCCCGCATGTTCCCTCGTCGGACGCTTGAGCACGGATGTGGCTGCTTCAGGGTTCCCGTTATACTATAATGACAAAAGGTCGTCCTGTCCAGATTCGACAGGTAATTGAATTGGTCGGGCTTAAAGAATTAGCCTTTGAAGTTTGAAGTTTGAATTTAAAAAAAAAAGAAAAAAAAAAGACGGAGCGACCTCTTGGCTATTAACCAGGGAGCTTGATGTCTGAGCTGGGAAAGCAGAAGGTAGGATATACCCATCCAGCCACAGCGAAACACAGAACTCGCTGCCCATCCAATTCCAAGAAAAAACGACAAGCAGGACATATAACAGGCACACACACACACACACACACACACACACAAAAAAAAAAAAAAAAAAAAAAAAAAAAAAAAAAAAAAAAAAGAACAACAGGCACACAATCAAGATCCATCCAATTGAGCAGAGATCCATCTATCCATCCGTCCAATGACAGCGAACAACTGAGACCCTGCCATCTGACAACAGCAAACAATTGAAGCGGGACAAACAGATGAGCAGCAGCAATCACCCGAAACATTTCATCTGACAATGGAGGAACAGAACACTGATGACTGACTTATTGTAGAATACCATAACAGCCTCCGTTTTTTTTTTTTTTTTTTTTTTTTTTTTCACCTGCCATCTCGCGTGAAAGAATCAACGGTTGGAATTGATCCATCTGTGCCTGTCAAAGACAGGATGATCATTTTCTGCTTGCCCCAGCCGGTACTCGTTCAACTTTGCTGAGTCGCAAGAAGATCTCATTCACTGGTTATATGTCAGCGAATGCTCATCTCAATTCATATCAACACACAGCAGCCGCAGATACCAGGGTGTATATAAACATCAGGAGGCAAGAGATCTGGTGCTATGCTGCACAAGCGTGAAAGCTCGGGGCTTTTGTACACTTGGAGAGTCATCACTAGGTCATGGGCTCGTGTGCAATAGGATTACCGACTCTGTGCTTGTGGTCCCCACAGAAAGATCAAGAGTGGCAATAGCAGAGGCCATGTGAAGCTCGCCACTGAGCCAATCAACCTAGCCTCATCTTTTGTCCGAATTAACAGAATTTTCGAAGGTCTCTCCAAGAGGAAAGTTTTGTGTATGAATGACAACATCACCTACCCTTCCGCGTCGCAATCGTGTGCCTTTCGGATTCACGGTATCGGGATCGGTTATAATAGGTTCTTCCTCGTTGATGCCTTCCAAGCTTCTGCTAGTTCTGCTGTTCCCTCTGGACTGTGCGGCCGAATCGTACATAAGGGTGGCTGATGAAGATGTCAATGTCAACCCTCTTGCAACCCGTGCAACATTCATCGGTAGCGCCATTGACCCTGAGTCATCCTCGGGGTCGAGAAGTATACCCGCGGCCCGTTTCGCTTCCCTCAGCGCTTCCCTATGCTTCTGTTCGCGCTTCTTCTTCCGTCTCCATGCCGCCTGGATTGTGCACGCCGCCCACATCTGCCATTGCTGAGAATAACATCGTAGGGTGTGCTGGATCTCTTTCGAGTGCAAACGGCGGAACTGGCTCGCAACATATTTGAGGTCGTCAGCGCTCAGCGAAAACGCCTCCACTTCATCCAAAATGACCACCCGCCGGGAGGACTTCGGCAAGCTGTCATGCTGGCTCTTCGGCTCGAGCGCCCACGTCAGCAGCTCTTCACCACAGAAATCGCCAGCCCGTAATTGTCTGGTATTCAGAAAACCTGTCCGGCCACCATTCGTTGTAGAGCTCTCCATTCTACCCTTGATGACGAAAACCATGGACTGCACAGGGTCGTCCTCTCGAATCAATACCGTCCCTTCAACAAACATAGCTTGTTGCAGACACAAACATATCGCGTCTTGCAAGTTGCTGTCCATTTTCTCAAACAGGGGGACCTACAGACAAAGCACAGATACGAGAAGAAAGAAACAAAAGCGTGAGACAGAACACCAGCAGCAGTGGTGAACCCAACCAGCATGTGTGGCTGAACAGTACACAACTGTAACTGTTGTGAAACAGATCAGTGGATCGAATCACCCTGGAATCACAGGGGGCTACAATCAGACTGCCGTCTTCCCCCGAACATGACGCATATGCGTTATACAACTTGTACTTCAGATTTTTTTTGAAGTCACAATTTTCGAATACAACGCATGGACTCATTTGTTGTAGGAAAGGAAATGCACCCAGACTGCGTCAGGACTAGTCTGCGTACCTGAGACTCGCCCTCCTACCACCACTGGGATTGAGGTCTGGCACAAAGGCAAAAAAAGGGACAGAAGGTGAGGGGACGCTGGACCCGGTTTCCAGCACATGCGTTCCATTCCAAGTTCCAACTCATCTCACAACTTTTCCTACGTTGTTTCACGAGGGATGCTGGGCCCGGTTCTCAGCACGTGTTGAGCCAGCCGATAAAAAAAACACAAACAGCAGGTAGTGTAGAAGTGCTTTTAGGAAGCCGGGCCGGGGAACAGACAGGGACCACCACTGGTGTCCCCCAGTGGCCCTGGCTGGGCCCTGCTTTTTGGAAGGCGGGCCGGGGAACAGACAGGGACCACCACTAGTGTCCCCCAGTGGCCCTGCCTGGGCCCTGGCCTTGGGCCTCAGTTTTCGGAATGCAGGGCAGATAGGGATGGGACGCTGGACCCGTTTACCAGCACCTGTGTTCTCTCTCGAGTCTAGACTCATCTCATGTTTTTTTCTATGATTTTTCACGAGGGACACTGAGCCCGGTTCTCAGCACGTGCTGCTCCCCACGAATATAGATTGAAGCCTGGTTGAAAGAAAAAGAAAATCCGATAGAAAGCAACCTATGCATTGTGCTCGTCTACAATGCATATGCCTTATGTTCGGGGGAAAGACGGTAGGGGCTGCACTGTTTAGATAGTATGATAACAGGGTAGGCTGGTACTCAGCCCCTCAAATTGTCTCTGTGTTTTTTACATACATGGCTGGTTTTAGACACAAACAGGTCGCGTCTAGCAGGTTGAGGGATCTATGAAAGCAAGCACAAAGACGAGAAGAAATCGAATGTATAACGTTCATGAGAACGCGAGATGGAGGAGAGAGAAGGAAATACAGAAAGACCGACCTCAAGTTCCAGGTCATGGCTGACGTTCTCAAACATGCACATTTATAAAATACAGCAAGCACACAGAAGCAAGGAAAGTGTAGAACATTGAGAAGGAAATACGGACTCAGTTTCCAGCTAGAAGTTGTTTTGATTTGTCGTAGACGACTTGTGGTATACTTAGATGCTATTTCCATGTTGAGTAAGACATTAGAAGCGCATCAGGCTCGTCCTTCGGGACATCCGTTAAAATTGGAAAGATACAAAGAAGATTCGCATAGGATGACCCACATAATCAAGCAATGGTCCACACAAAAAAAAAGAGCATCAAGATCACCATAATGTGCTGTTTTTGAAAAAAAACTTTAAAAAAGAAGTTAAAAAAAAAAAAAGACCATGAGGAAGGTCTTGACAATGCCTGGAGACAGCAAGTGTAATGGGCCAAATATCTTGGCCATAGCATGGATGGAGATGGAGTACAGCCACAGAGGGCAAGAAGACAGCAGCAATTGGATACTAGCCCATGCCCGAAAACCTCACAGAACTGCGTTCATTCTTAGGATTAGCCAATTACTGTAGGAAAGAGGGAATCTTTGGTGGCTGTGCGATAAAGAGTCGTTAAAATAGACCGCACTTTGTCATTGAAAAAAAGTTGAAACGAACGTCAACCTTAGTTGGTACACCCCTGACATGTTGAAATACAGACCTGAGTTTAAACTCCGCTGACAACAGATGAGTAAAATAGTTAAAAATACTACAGTAATTCTGAATTACCTAGGGCAGGTCAGTTAGATGATGATATCTCAAGGCCGTCGGCATGAAAAAAAAAAAAAACAAAAAAAAAACAGAAGAATACCCAGTCCTAAAGATAGCAGAGTCCTAAGCAGACCCTTTCCTGCCTTTTGTTCTCACTACAGAGGAGGCTAGTCAGTATGGGATAGGAGCTTTGTTGCAGCAAGATGATGTTAGATAGCACCGCTCTCCGGAATTCACTTCCAAACGGTTACCATGCTGCGGCAAGATGATGTTATGGAGCACCGCTCTTTGAAATTGGTAGACACTTCGAGAAGAGAATAGCAGATTCAACGTAGCAGAGACTACACACTACAAAACATGGTGACATCGCTTAATTGGTAGACACTTCGAAATCTATTCCGATTGCAAGACACACTGTTGGCTTAAAGCACCAGAACATGGGCATGTCGGCCGCGGGCCTGACACCTGGAATTCTGGAAGCACAAAACGAAAATGCGACCGCCGATCCAATTTATCAACGGCAGGCCCATCGTTTGACGTTTCAGCTTCATCGTTGTCTTGTGGCAACAAGTTTCCGACTGCAAGGCTGGGGCCGTGTATTATCGTCTTCACCCGAATAGAACGTCCGGTCATTATAGCCGTATCTGGACTGAAAATTGCACCAGATACGGCTATAATGACCGGTCGTTCTATTCGGGTGACGACAAGCGGAACACCAAATGAGCTGCGCAAGGGCTGGAAGCAACATATGTACGATAGAGGTCAGTGCAGAACGCCTGCCCTCAGAACCATGTGTGACACTTGAATGGATGGTACAACGAAGTCCTCCGGACTTCCATACCTTTGAAGAACTTCCAGCCATGGCGCTTCGAGTCTGCTATGTGATAGTAATTGGCGAGACCGCAGAGAAGTCCGGAGATACGTGACACTAACAAGGGAACACCAAATGAGCTGCGCAAGGGCTGGAAGCCACGTGTCGACCTTTAGACTGTCTGAATCCCAATCAAACTTAGAGATGACCACACACACTCATGAATTCGCACTAAGTAAAAGGACCTAAAGAAGGTCGCTGAGAACGTTAGAAATGCCCAGCTCAAAGATGGTAGAAACAACAAACAAGCATACCAACGGGCCTAGCTCAGTCGATACACTCATGAACTGTTGAAATACAGACCCCAAGTTCAAATCCAGATACAATCAGATGACCAAACCAAAATCTTTCTGAATTACCTAGGGCAACTCAGTCTCAAGGACGGTATCTCAAGGCCGTCGTTGCCCTTTCCAAAAAGAAAAACAAAATAGAAAAGACAAACAAGCATAGCAGACCGTCAAGGTTTACCGTCACGGATCTAGCCTGGGTTAAGTCAAAAGACTTCATCCCCGAAGAAGAAGCAATTTCGCAGAAACTACCACCTGCTTCTAGAAGACCAGTGGCAGTCCTAAATGTGATAGGTGATGCAGTTGGCCCATCATATGTCACTAATGTCCCTCCACACCTGCAAACTTACGCTGTATATCACACCTACCTGCAAACTTACGCTGTATATCACGCCTACCTGCAAACTTACGCTGTATATCACGCCTCCTAGCCACTGAATGTGAACTCGGACAGATCCTTCCCCTCACGTAGATCCATGATTCCACCTGATATGATAATGATCAGAGAGTTTATCAGCAAACACTCAGAACGGGAAGAAAGAAATGGCCTCAACAATAGTACAAAGTACAGTGGCAGGACCTTGAAGAGGATAGAATCCAATAGATGCTTCACTAAGGAAGAGGATCGGGAATAGTCTCCTGTTATTAACAAGCGAGAAGGGGTATTCGAATTGGAGGGCGTCCAAATTCGGCTGGCAGGACCGAAAGGACTTCGCGCATGTCAGAAGTCCCAGTTCCAAGTCCCAAGGCTCAATGTAACATCGTCCCGACCGGTAGGAGTCCTAGGCCCGTCTGCATGGTAGCCGGAAATAGGTCAGTATGGTAGCACTCTGTAGCCCCAGTTCGTTATTTGTCTGTCAGTCCAAAGTTAGTGAGCAATTGAAATGTCCCGGTCCAGAAGGATCCAAATGAGGGAAACATGGCAAGTAGGGATAATAAGGTCGCCATTAGCAGAATATCAACACAATTTCCATTCATGCCTAACATGGAAGCACTGTCGCTGTCTTCTGTGGGAAGGACAGAGTGACGCTGAGAGACAGAGTAGTGTGGTCCATGGCGCCTGGTGCCATAGCTGATAGTAAGAGCGAGAGCATGGATAAGCAAAGACGTTCAGAGAGTGTGAGCGAGACCTGTGAAAGTAAAATGGCGGGGAAGAGAGAGAGAGAGAGAGAGAGAGAGAGAGAGAGAGAGAGAGAGAGAGAGAGAGAGAGAGAGAGAGAGAGAGAGAGAGAGAGAGAGAGAGAGAGAGAGAGTCCTGAGCATGCACTAGACCGCCGCAGCCACAAGCGTGTGCATACATGAGATTTGTTGTATAAGACATATAAAGACCTACTGTTGATGGCAATGCATTTATATTCTGTTTCTGATTGAAACATAATAGAGAGCACGATATATTAATAGGATGCTGTTTCGATTTCGACTTCATTAACTACAACAAGCACCACTCGTTAACACTTGATTGGAAGTTTCATGCGAAGCTGAGATGGATCCTACACATGGAAGTCGTTGATGCAACCGAGATTCATTTATGTACACCTGCGCGCCCAGCCGCCGTGAACACACGGCACTGTAAGTGGCATACAGTTGAAGATGATGCTATACATTGCAAGAACCACCAAGCTAAAAAAGCACTGCTGCGGTTCTGCTAATTTGCAAAAAAACAACTTGAGGTCCTAGATTGAAATCTTGGTAGCAGCAAAATAATAAAAAGAGCAACAGTGAACATGGACATTTTGGGCAGGTTGTGGGCCCAAAGCCCTCTGCCCAAACGATGACCCTATTTACTACTTACTATTTAGTGTTTTCAAATTTTCAATGCTAACTGTGATGGGCGAATGAGATGGGGCGATGACCGTATATGCCATGTGGAAAAGCCCATGATAGAAGTTAATCTCACCTTCCGAATAAGATCAATAGCAAGATGCCGTTTGATATCTCGCCGCAGATCCCATGGTAATTTCTCGAGCAACAGCCCCTCATTCACACCCCTTGTGGCGGCCCACTTGAACGACTCGTACCGCCTCACGCGCTCACGAAGGTCCTTCGGCAGTCGGCGATGTCGCATCCAGTACTCCGTGTCTCTTCTGCTTGTCCTCATCTCCTCCAACCTGGTTGTCAGAGACATCCAATATGTCTGCAAGAAGCAAATTAAAGAGGCGGATAAGAAGAAGATAGGAGGAGGGGAAGATATCGAGTAACGTGAACGATCAAGATGGAAGCACAGCATCAGAGAGGATGGATGCTAGACAACACTGCGACTAATGTCTGTTAGCGAGGTACACAGTTCCATATTTCCTAAAGATGCAGAAAGATCGTAGGCTGAGGTAGCTCATTTTTTTTTTTAACTTTCGCCGTCCACAATTCGTATAACGTACAAGAGGACAGGGTGTGACACTGCTTGCAACAAGGACAAATGGAGTGCACATTCGAAACTCGTTAGTCCTCTTCTTCGCACAAACTTATCTACGCCACTGAGCTACCACATGAACATATCTGTCTCACCCGCTCATTATCGCTGCATCTGGACTGGGAGTTGAGCCAAACACAGCTATAATGACCGGGCGTTCTATTTGGGTGAGAAGACGGTAGGCTGGTCGACAAGTACGTGGGGTGCCAACCTCATACTATACTGAACATGCGCAGGGGAAGTTGAGGCCCGACAGAATCAAACCCGCAACCTCACCATCGCAACGCCAGAGCCCTAACCCACTGCGCTACCACGCGTGTCCTAGTTATTGTTCTTATTGTCTGTCATAGACCTTGATGTTGATGTTGGTGGTGGAGGTGGAGGTGGAGGTGGAGGTGGTGGTGGCGGTAACCTTGATGCGGGACTGGTTTGTGCTTTCTTTGCAGTTCCAGTGGAACTTCACATGTTGGACCACAACCGACTGAATTGCAATGGGATTATAATGACCGGTCCAAAGTTTCCTGGGCGGACATCATGTTCACCGTTACTAATCACTATCAAATCCTCAAATGATCACTGCCACTGGCATTGCCATCATTGTCACCCGTCATCATCATCATCGTAATCATTACCATCATCATCATCATCTTTCTTACTAAACTCGTCATCATCGTCAAGTTCCCATTACACTCGTCATCATCATCATCATTTGTGATTAAAAAAATCGTCATTATCATTTCTCATCGAGCTCATCACTATCATTGTTTTCCTGGGTTCCTCCCTCCTAGCTCAAAAAGCGACTAAGGAGTACATGATACATATTCTCGCCACTCTCCAAACCAAGAGCATTCAACCCATGACTAAGGTGAAACGACCCGTACGAGAGATTTTCCTGGATCCATTTACAGGATTACAGATGGCGGGCTTATTCCACACCACTGGGGCATATCATTCAACGTGAAAGATTACATCCACCCAAACAATGGCAGACTGCATAACTGGAAGGGTTAGCGCAACTGTGTTTGACGTCGGTTTCCAAAGCTTCTTGGTGACTCCCTTTAGCGACATTTTCGGTCTATTGTTTCTATGTTACTCGGATGGACTGTTACCGCTTTGCTGGCAAACAAGAATATGATGGGTGATGCATTTCAGGTGGTGCGAGCTCACTGGTTTAATCTCTCTCTCTCTCTCTCTCTCTCTCTCTCTCTCTCTCTCTCTCTCTCTCTCT